ACTCTTAATAATCCAACAACTCTCCATCATTTCTACAAAACTATGAGTTTCCTTAGCAGTTGCCTGCCTAGTTATTGTTAATACTTGATTAACGTCTCCCTCTAATCATAGGTGATGAATGACTGACAAAAGTGACAATATAATAAATCCACATTATCATTCACTGCCAGACCTTAACTTTAGTGTGTACTTGATCAATCACCACACAGTTTACAACAACATATATATTTAGCAGATTAACTACTGTACCAGGTAATGTAATTAAAGGCACACCTGCAAAGAAATGCAGCAGTATCCCATTTACTACACTGGCTCACTAGAAAGAAAATTCAGGTTGCTCAAACCTTGATAAAGCCTTCCACAGGTTTCTGAAACTAAATTATGAGTACAGAGGTCGGTTGCACAGATTGTTGTATGGTTTGTCAGCATGTCTATCCCATCTATTTATTTATCCAATCTTATCTGTCATCTGAGAACCTTCTTTTAAACATCTGAAACAGTTTAGTGCTGTACAACTGTTTAGCTTTACATGCACACATGCACAGGTTCACCAAACCAAATGCTGCTGAATGTCAGTGTTTTAGACCCTGTCTGACAGAGTCTGTGTGGAGCATTTTTCTTTTTTTCTTTCTTTTTTGTAATTAAATCTTTAGTGAATTTTAACAGAATAAAACGTTTCAAAAAATTTTCAAAACTGAAAATGTTTTGCATATCATCTTTCACTATGGCAATTGGTCAATGGAATGGACATATCACACATCAAAGCTGCCATCCAAGGTGTTGGCATGACAGTCAGAACCAATTTAGTGCTCAGGATTTGGCTTGTCTTCCTTTGCTTACTTTATGTGCATTGCTTTAAGAAAAAAAAACACAAGAACAATAGAATAAAGTTACAACAGAAGACACTGAAGGCATTACAAGTTTCTGTACATAATGAAAGAGGTTTTTTTTTATATAGGTCATTAATAAGACCTCAGCCTCATCACACAAACACAAAAAGTCTAAAATGTTTCTTCTGTTATTCTCATATGTGAAACGTGTGGTTTATTATAGAATATGGCATTATTATGTGCTCAAACACTTGTAGATAATGTGTCTCCATGATGAACTGAGTGGGTATATTTCAGTGCAATCCGCTGTTAATGTCAGTTTTGAAGTCAACATGACCTTAACTGCATGGGACCAATTGTCTTTCTCTATGGAGATTGTGCAATGGTTATTATTAACTTAACACATGAAATAAAAAACAGGGAATGAGAAATACAATCTGATTTGGAGGCAAACACCTCCCAGAACAATAACAGGTGTTGCCAGTGCAAGAGGTAGACACAGAAGAGACGTCAATATATCATGAGAAAGAAAAATGGAAAGAAAAACTAAAAAAAAAAAGAAACAGGGATTATACAGTACTCATGACTTTAGTCAAAGTCATTTGATATTAAGGAAAAACATCATTCACCATACACAGAGACACTAATGCAAGTTTGTTTTCATTCAGTGGTGTTTCACTAAGTCAGAAGAGTTTTTCCTAGCCTAGAAAGATAGTTTAATAACATTTTTTTTAAAAAGCCCTTCATAGTGCCAGAACCGCACCTTATTCATCACTGACAGAGGAAAATAAGAACAAGCCCAGGCTGAGAAACAGCCACAGTGCTGTTGAGCTTAATATCCCCTTAGATCTCAGTCTTAATGACTTCATGAACTTCTTTACAAATAAAATCACAACTATTAGAGAAAAAAAAATCAGATCCCTTCCACAACTCCCACAGATGTGTCATCAAGTACAATGGCTTTAGAAACATCTGTAAGACCTCATTAACTGTAATTTCCGGACTATAAGCCGCTACTTTATTTACTTCATGCACACACCCTCATCATGTAAAACACACGACGAAATGCATATGATGCAGCTTTCAAGTTAAAGGCAATCGATCTGGCTGTCGAAATATCTCATGTTACAGTGTGGACACCTGCAGCTATGTACAAACTGTTTTTCGTTTTAAATTTAGTGGGTGCGGCTTATATTCAGGTGCGCTCAATAATCCGGAAATTACGGTATATTTAGACTGCTTCTCTCCAAGTTGACCTCAACAATTGTTGGTATCCAATCCCCCTTTTATTCCTAAACCCCTTGAAAAACATGTTGCAAATGTGACCAGGCCAGTGTACAGGCCTATGCAACCCAGACACTAATACGTTTTAGTAACTCTCACAGAATATTATCCTTCTATTATCCTATTATCCTGTTTCAAGAGGTCAAATTCATAGAAACTCTACAAGTACTGGGTTACCACACACAGATAAGTCTGCAAACACACAGAGATGTTGGGTTTGTCCACAAAAATACAGATTGATTTGAGTCACTAATTAAGTTAACAGTGAAGCAATGTTTAAAAAGGCCTAACCCCAGAAGCTAAAATACTATGGTTAAGAAGAAGTTACTCCCCACTCAATAAATACAGTGCAGAACAGGAATAATAAATGGTCAGAGGTCTACAGGTTAGAAAAGATCCATACATAAACATCACAACAATCAATCCAAACCAACCCAAACCAAACCAACATAGGAGGGTCTTGCCTCCCTGCACCTCAAACCATTTATATACACCATAAAACCTGAGTACTATACAATGAACAGGAAATATAATACCGAGTAAGCTTCTTAACATAAAAGTACACAACACAAAAATAAGCAAAGCAAACCGTTACTGTACATAAGCAACACAAAGCGAACAAGGCAAAGCAAAGCAGCAGTGGCTATCACTCCTGCAACGAGTAAAGCCATTGTTAATAAATAGCGTAAAACCATCAAAACAGTTAAAACCAACAACACTACAGGTTGCCTTGGCTGCATGTCAGACTAGAATATGTTATTGGGATTAAAGGAACTGCACTAAATTGGTTCAAATCTTAATTATTACATAGATTCCAGTTTGCTCATGTTAGTGAGGAATCTTAAACACAGACTAAAGTTAGTCACAATGTTCCACAGGGTTCTTTGATAGGTCCAATTCTCTTCACTTTATACATGCTCCCCTTAGGTAATATCAGGAAACAGCATAAATGTCAATTGCTATGCAGATGATACTCAGTTCCATTTATCTATGAACCAGATGGATGCTGTGAGGAACCTTGGAGTCATTTTTGACCAGGATATGCCCTTTAAATCACACATAAACCAAGTCTCTAAAACTGCCTTCTTTCACCTGCACAGTATCACCATAATCAGGAACATCCTGTCTCAAAGTGATGCTGAAAACCTGGCACATGCATTTGTTACCTCCAGGCTGGACTACTGTAACTGTTTACTATCAGGATGTCCCAATAGTTCCCTAAAAAGCCTCCAGTTAATCCGAAATGCTGCAGCCAGAGTACTGACAGGAACTAGCAAGAGAGATCATATCTCTCCCATATTAGCTTCTCTCCACTGGCTCCCTGTAAAATTCAGAATAGAATTTAAAATCCTTCTCCTAACATACAAAGCCCTTAATGACAAGGCTCCATCATACCTTAAAGACCTCGTAGAGCCTTATCATCCCAACAGAGCACTTCGCTCTCAGAGTGCAAGTTTACTTGTGGTTCCTAGAGTCCACAGAAGCAGAATGGGAGGCAGAGCCTTTAGCTATCAAGCTCCTCTCCTATGGAACTAACTCCCAGTCTCAGTTCGGGAGGCAGACACTCTCTCTACCTTTAAGATTAGACTTAAGATTTTCCTTTTTGATAAAGCTTATAGTTAGGTAAATATAATAATTTTGTTAATCAATATAATAGTGAGTGAGGGTAGAAAGGTACTTAGTATGTTGCGATATATCTTCCGATATTTCATGGCATCACAACTAATGTGGCTGAACAAGGATAAGGCTGCCAGCCATCTTGGTAACCACAAGCAAACAGGGGGCCTGAGCTGTCCTGTTGCCACTGAGTATATTTAACTGTAACAGTGGTTTCTAGTCAACAGGATGACCTTCATAGGCACCCATATAGTGGTATCTGTGAACTTACTGGACATGCATTCTAGGATAAGTTTAGTTTGGTGTACTATCCCTTAGTTATAGACCTAGGCTGAGGATCATCCCATGATGCTGAGCTCCTCTCCTCACCTTTCCACACTACAATATGTGTCTCCTCGCTTCTGTAGTGTGTGCGTGTCTCTCTCCCTTTACCTATCTGAAGGTATCCGTTGCTCTGTTGCTGTACTTTTCTGATGAGCAGTGACTGGCCACATCAACCTGCCCCATATTTGTTTGTTTGTTGTTGTGTTTGTTACGTCTTGTTCCTTTTCTTTTCTCTCTTTTCTATCTACTCGCCCCAACCAGTTGAGGCAGAAGGCCGCCCACCAAGAGCCAGGGTCTTTTGGAGGTTTCTTCCATTAAAGGGAGTTTTTCTTCCCCACTGACACCAAGTGCGTGCTCAAGGGGGATTTGTTTGGTTTTTCCTCTATAATATTAATAATAGTAAGATCTAGACCTTACTTTGTTAAGTGTCCTGAGATGACTTTTGTTGTGATTTGGTGCTATATAAACAAAATTAAATTGAACTGAATTGAATTCCACATGGGGACTTTACAAGGACTTACATTCATTTCCCAACTTACCTTAACTTTAATCATAACCACTACTTACCCAGCTCTAGCCCTTATTATGACCTGAACCTAACCAAAACCTTCAACCAAGTCATCACTCTAAAATTCAATGTTTTACATGGTGGGGACCAGCATCTTGAACATCTTTTTAAGGATTTTTTTTTTATGAAGTCCCCACAGTGTGAGTGTGCAAACAGCTTTCAGTCCCTACATTGTGAGTAATACCAGGCACTCACAAACACCTCCTCATCAACTCCCTTGATCTTCTCTTAGACATTCATATTGTCATATACTACAACATTGTTACGTCCATGAATCAGGCCATTCCCAGCACCTCGTCAGCAGCCACGGGGAATGTCGGCAACTCCACCCTCGCACATGTGGGAGTGCACTCTCGGCTGTGAGGCACACCTGCTCTCAATCATCCGAGCAGTACTTAAGAAAAGCATTGGTGTGTCCTCGTCGCCAGATGATCTTTCATCATTCTGCCGGTAACTCTGTATGTTCGTATTATACTTGAGCAATTTGAAGGATTAACTGTTATTCTGATTTTTACTCTTCTAGTGACTTTGTGGTATCTGCCATTCTGAATTTTGATGGCTTCTTTGAGTTGTGAACTGTTTGCCAGTGATTTCAGAAACCTGAATTACCTGCAACTCTCTAGATTCCTGCCCGTCTGATTTGTGATTGCTGCCTTGAGTTTGAACTGTTTGCCAGTGTTTTGAGAGGAGTAGGTACCGATTGTGATTTCTTCCCCCGGCACTGGACCTCTGCCTTCATCCCTCATCATGTCTCCCTTCAACCTGCTCTGTTGTCACCTGTCAGCCTGCCCCAGCTATCGCCGCTACCCAGATTCCTCATACCAGGCCAGCAGTGTCCTATGCCAGCTCCTGCCTCCTTGGACTGCTTTCCCAACCAGCAGCGCTCTCCTTCCTAGAGCGAGCACCCACTGATATTCAGGTCCTCTGTTTTAGTACTTGATATAGACTATCTCCATATGCCTGTTATCCTCACTCACACTCTTATCCTCTGCTCTAATATAGCATGCCACACCTCTCCTTCAACCCCGGATTGCTCCTCTAGCGGTCCAGTCAATACAGCATCTCCAGCTGCCCGAGATCTGCAGCAGCATCTCCGTGTCCGGTCCTCGTTGACTCCTTTTTTTTTATTATTCATTAAATTATTTGCTCTTCCAAACCTGAGTGTGAGTCCTGCATTTTTCGGAGTCCTCTCTGATTGTTTGTGATATGGCTTGCCGTAACAAACATATGACAATTTGAAGCAAAAATATATAGAGTTTATGGAATCGCACTCACAAACTTTGGCAATTGACAGGGAAAGCCCACCCCCAACCTGTCAAGTCATAGCTTCACAAATGTAACTGGGGTGGACCAGTACGCTTTGGAGTTCTCCAAATGCTGAAATCCTAACCTAATGTTCCTTCCAAGGGTAAATGTTAGTGAGCACCAATACACACCTTAAACCAGTTCTACTTGTTGTTTTTGTATATGAAATACCATTGGAATCACACAAACACACACACGTAAGGTGTACTAACACATGCAAGAAAAGTACAGGAAGTCTCCCAAGATGGTTTCTGTAGCAACAGGCAGGTGATGGTAGATATAGTAATAGGATCCTGATACATTGATGAATGGTGGCCATTCTGTCACTAAGAATGCATTGAAGCGATAGTTCTAAGAGAACTTGTGGATGCATGAAAAAACAATTTATTTTATCTCATTGCTTTCTTTCTTGCACTGATAGTCAAAAGAAAGTGGCAATGACACTAACTTCAAAATAACACTGCTCGGTGTAATTTTTAGACTTGCAGCCTACAGTCATCCTGAACTGGTAAACCACACACATGCAAACACACTCACTCTCACATATGGATACTCATTTTCATATGCTTCCAACTGCAAGAATTGATACAAATTTGCTAGATTTTCTGCCTGGATAATGATGTATTTAATTACCTCTGTTTCTTTTCCTCTCTGGCCATCACATGCATTGACTCAGTACATAAATACAGTACACAGTCTGTCCCCTCACACCGGAAAATACAGCATCTACAGGAAAATAAGTGACTTTTATCTTTGTAAATGTAAATGTTATCTTCCCAAACTGTCTCTGCTGTATTTGTTTCCTCCAATATACATTATAGCAGTTGTGTTTTGTTCATTTCTGTCCTCATGTGCATGTTCATATAAATACACCTGCATAAGCATGCACGTGGGTGGCTGCATGGATGACTCTGACGCTGTGTGTGTGTGTGTGTGTGTGTGTCTGTATGATACATCCATTGATTGTCCAGTGCTGTTTTTGGGGCAGCTGCAGAATAGGGTTAAGGACTACAGAAGAAAAACTGACTGATTATTTTGCTGTCACTGACAGTAAATCAATACAGCCCAAAACGTGCATGTGCACACACAAACACACATTCTTGTTTTCATCTATTACTGGGTTCCTACATACAGTAGACTTACATTAATTTCCAGGAGACTTACCCTAATCCTGACCAAAGCTGACACATGCTTTAACCTTAAACCCCATCATTTTTGTAAAATTGAGGGAATTACATTGTGGAGACCAGCCTCCAGTACCCACAAGATAGTAGCTCAAGAACATAGTAACTCCTGGATTTTGGGCCACACAAGTATAGAAAAACAAGGGCCCGCCCACCACACACACACCCACACACACACACACACACACACACACACATACACACACAGAGTGAGCACTCAGGGCCTCCTGACAGTGCTGGTGGACATGGCTGATTGACCCTGCCTCACCAATCTGCCCAGCTCTCTGCCAGAAAATCAACCAATTAAAAGATGCAGGCACCACAGTGGCACTGGGGGGAGCAGTGGAATTGTGGGTAGCAGCAGCTGCAAAGTTGAATCAGAAAGCAGCTGTGGGGAACTGATGAACAATGTTCAGTCAAGCTAGCTCTCTCTCTCTCTCTCTCTCTCTCTCTCTCTCTATGTATTTTATGTACTTTACTCATAAACAGGTATGCACTGACTCTGAATAGAGACAGAAGAAACATTAGTGACTGATTCACCACAGATGACCTCTTATACAAATAACAAAAATATCATTATTTCTACTTAAAACGACCACTCCATCATGCTAAAGCGTATCAAGACAATTTGACCATCAAACAAGAGTGGCTGTTAGAGGAAGATGATGAATTGTGTCCTATTTTTCTTAAATCATCGCTCAAGTGGAAAGGTGTTATAATAGACTGTTTGAGTAAAGGCCCAAGTCCAAAAGTCTTTAGTCTTCACTTCATTCTGTTTTACCTTTGCTTTCTATTTTTACCACACACCTGTTGTGTTGTTAAGTGTAGAGACACAATTTTTAAGCATATTGAAATTGCATCTTATCAAAAGTCAAATGCTTTTCCCCACCATTCTGTTTTATAGATGCATTTATACACATGTTCACAAATGGCAATGTACCTGTGCACCTGTCCTGACTGCCATTTATCCCTTAATGTGTATATGAATGTTATCCTGTACAGTGACAAAACTACAGATGTTCATCTATTCCTGCCAAGGAACTTGTGAAAATGTGTCAGTAAATCAGACCTTTTGTTTATTATGCTATTTTTCTTTTCCCCTACTGACACTAAAAATCATGGGATATGGGAGAGGGAGTATCCATTAATAAAGTATATTTGTAAAAAGTAAACACGTTATTTCCTCACATTTCACTGGTTTCACTGGTGTAACCAAATGCACATTTGCAGTTTTGCTGCCATATAGAACGCCATTCATACTCACTAAGGAATAAATGGCAATAAACTGCAATCGGCAGCAGAGGCCCCAACGGAGAGTGGCGTTAACAAATGCCATCTGTAGAATACCCTCTGCTGGCAAATGCGCACAGGCGCATGGGGCGGTGTTCAACTAATGATGAGTGCATTTTCAGTGGTGTTTAAAAACATTGTCTGCTAAAGCCAACAAATTATGATCCATTAGGCTTTCGATAGTTCTGTATCTTTACACATTAAAATCAAACGGGTAGAGGATGGTATCTTTGTATTCTTAAGGCAAGATGAGCCCATCAAAACACTACAATATATTTTTTTTCCTAGACTCAAATAATTTTAGCAGACAGTAGATAAAACTACTAGGGCTGCATCTAATAAGTAATCTGTCAGTACCTACAATTGGTATACCGAATGTCCTTTGCAGTTTCACAGAACCGGTTTAGGGCTTCTAGAAAATTACTTGCTTTTTCTGACAAACACTTCAAAACCCAAAGATATTACATTTAATTAAATCCTAACATTTTAGAGGATGCAATTAGTATATGTATTGCATTTTTTGGTTGAAGCAAAACTTTCTTCCAGTGAACTACTTGTCTCATCAGCTAATCGTTGAATGAAAAGTCTTTCCCAGTGAAGGGCCCACATAAATTCCTTGAGAGCAGAAATGTGCTGGCCTACTCTACAACAGAATGAACCAAGAAGCTGTACAACTCTGTGCCTGTTTCCTGAGGCTACACTACATCTGGTAATCAACTGTATGTAGCAGCTCAAAAGTGTGACTGGTATATATGCACCTGAAATGGAGCAGCCCAGCTGAATCATATGTTTTTATCTGTACTGGAAAGCACTGGTACAGAGTTCAGCACAATGGAGGTAACAGCTTGGGTGCTTCAGTATTAGATGGAGTGCTCACTACTGTAACTCTCACCAGCATGGAGCCAGGGGAGCGAGGGATTGTAGCAGCTTTTATAGATATAACTAATCCTAAATTTTACTGCATCCCATCAAAACCTCATTCCATTGTGTTTTATCTCTTAGTCATCGAAGAACTGTGTGAGAATCAGGAGAGCCTGACTCTTACTTACATATGTTGGGAGAACTCAGGTGCCTCATCATTGACGTTAGCCATTCGAATCCGTACTGTAGCTGTACCAGTTCGAGGGACCTCGCCCTTATCAATGGCCATCACAACAAACTCATACAGATGGTTGGGCCTTTCATAGTCCAGAGGCCCCACAGGGAAGATGGTCCCATGAAGGGAAATGGTGAAGTCCTGACTCAGGGTGTAATAGGTCAATTCTGCATTTTCTTCTGAGTCGCAGTCATTGGCTGACACTAATGGGAACAGAGAAATGGAGAACAGAAAAGAAGAAATTAGAGTGACTAAACAGCAGTGGGATCCCATAAATTCCCCACAGCTATGACAGTGACTAACTTGTACTAAACTTTATTGTGAATTAAACTGCAACCACAAATATGTTTTGTTATAAATGTAACTGACAACTAGATTATGTTCAGAGGCCAGTGGTGGAAAAAGTCCTCAGATCCTTTATTTAAGTAAATTAGAAATACTACAGTATTATAATACTCTGTTACAAAAAAAAAAGGCTGGTATTCAAACTTTTACTTAACACTACAAAAGCATATGTACTCATTATGTACTTCATACACTTGGGTACTTGAGTAAATGTGCTTAGTTACTTTCCACCACTGAAAGAGACAACTCTTTTTTAATGAAGGAATTACAGCAAATGAGGAACAAGGAGATGATTCTGGTGAACAGCAGGCATACAAAGTGTACAAATGTCACACAAAATCTGTCTGTGGTTTGGTTTAGGCAAAAAAAAGCACTTTGGTTAAGAAAGATTGTGGTTTTGGTAAATGTGGAAGAACACATTGGATCTGAAGTGTGAACTTTTTCTATATGTACTTAGAACAACAATCAAGTGCTAAGTGCTTGATGCAAAAGTAAAATGGGGGGGGGGGGGCTTGTGGTTACAGTATATGTGAACTCATGAGTCATGATTAAAAGCCTACTGTGAGAACATATTTGAATTGTTACTAATTATTATGAATTGCAATTATTATTAATTTGTTATATAACTTATTTGTCACTGTGTTGAAAGTTTCCATGTAAGGGTGTTGATGACTGCTCGAGCTGAATACACTGATGAGATGCATTTCAGTCGGTTAAGAACTGCTGACCTGACATCAAATCCACAAACATTACACATACTGCAGATGCACAAAATAACACATAAAAGCATCTCATGAGCCATGATAAAAAATATCGTCCACATGTCCCAATAAGTCATGTTTCAGGTGTTAGTGACAGCAGGTAAAGTCAGTCAGACTGCTGCACAGTCGCACATACCATCAGTTCTGTGTGTTGCTGTCATGAGCAGGTGTCAGGTCCGCTCGGCGCGACCTGCCTCTCTTCTGCCTTTCTCTCTCCTGCTTGCTCTTTTTGCAGGATCAGTGCCTCAGCTGTGTCGCATGTTGTAATCAGTGACTTGTGGGTTGTTGCGCACAGCTGGGGCACATCACTGTAATCACCCTCCTACCTTATTTGTACCTCTGGCGGACGTTCCGCCTTCGCCGGAGTATTAACTACTGTAATGTGCATACCCCGTAACAGCCATATATTTTGTGGTATGTATTTGTACGTCATTTTGTTTTCCTCGCTGACAGTTCCTGTGCTGTGGATCGCATTTTGTACGTTGGTTATATGTTTAGCGTTATAGGTCCACGCTGACAGTTCCTGTGCTGGGGATCTCTATTTATGTTTTTTCTGTGAGGTTAGCTAGACGTATTTTTTGTTATCCATGTTGACAGTTCCTGTGCTGTGGATTTCCATTTTCGTTCGTCTGTCCTCATGGTTAGCCTGTCTATTCACCTGTCCGTCCTCATACTCCTGATCACCTTTATTTCTTGCCATTAGTTTGTCCTTGTACTGTATTCATTGACTGTTTCTTTTCTTTGTGTGTGTTCCCCACCATAAAACCCCCTTTTTTTTTTACTAGCACCTGGGCCAGCAATCTTGAGTCTTTGAGTCCCACTGTAGTTCTCCCTCACCCTCCTGGTGAGGGGGACAAACCATAACAGCAGGGGTGGATATAAAACATTGGGGATGGGGTGGCCAGGCTGGGGCACAAACCCAGAGAGGGGTGGCACATTTGAAAAACATCACAAAGTGGCATCACCCACTCTAGCGCTCTCCTTCAGCCTTTTTACAATTGTTCAGCCTGTTTTCAGCGCTTATTCTGCCAACCTTAAGCTTTCACAAACAAATTATAGAATAAAACTGTAGAGAAAATTGAGACATATCAGAAAATGAGCTTGTTATTGTCAAAGGATGAAAAATTGTTGAATGAAGTGGCAAATTCCAGAGAGTACTGTTTGTCTCCCATAGACTCCCAGTGTTTGTTGAAGCCTTCTGCCGCTGAGTGAAGCAATTGTTTAACAGGACTTAGTTTTTCTTCTATTGCCCAATTTGTGAAGCCATGTTTTACTGAAATCTACTGGTTTGTGCTCAAAATACTGACTCACTTAAAGATGCACCTGTTGTTGTTGATTGGCCATTTGTCCTCTACACGCTCTCTCTCTTTCTGTTAACTGACACACAGTCAGTCAATATCTGTGTTAACTGAGTGTCTTGTAATCCATGATATGTGTCCACACCTGTAATATCCCGGTCAGTACTAGCCCATTCAGTACTTCTACCCTCATTACAAGTACTTCTGACTGTACTGTTTTCTACTAACACTACTATTTCCAATGTTAAAAATAAATGGACTGACCTTCTTGGTAGCATGAGTCCTGTTGAGCTAATTACATAAAACAGAAACATTAAAATTACCATGGTACCCAGGGTAGTAAAGTAGGTTCACATAAAGGCCTGGAAACATGCCTGATTTTCAAAATAAAAGCCCCAGCTTGTAACTTTAGTTCACATGAAGGCAGATTTTCAAAATAAAAGCCACTTATTATATGCATGATGTTACCAGACACTGAAGTGCAGTTGATTTTCAAAATTCAAAGCCCTCATCTAGTTACAAGAAGTGATTTGATAATTGGAAATACATCAAATTTCAAAAATGAAAGCCCAAGATTGCAACTTAACATCACATAAAGGTACGGTAATGTGTCACACTTCCACATTAAAGGCTGCAGATAAACACCATGGAAATGAGCACAGTGATTTAAAATGAATGCTAAACTTTATTTTAATAAATATTTCTATCCTTTTACAAATTTAAGCAATTTTATTTCTACTTCTCACTTTGGCAAAATACCTTCAACTGTTTCAGTGATGAGGTTAAGCTCTCAGCTTCTTTAGATGTTGAAATTAAACCCAACTTCAACTTTTCTTCCATAATTATTTAGCATTGCATCTCAGCCTTCAGCTGTTTCAGGAGTGGACTTCAGCCATTTCAACACTATTAGGGCAATTCTTCAGCAATCAGCATTCACATGCGAAAATGCCTTTTCTAGTTTTAAGTTGGTGTGGTCAATAGAATAGATGTGTGTACCTGATCTCGTGTGTCCCAGCCTATGCGCTGGTCAGGAAAATTGCAAATACACCTGTGACAGCAATAAGAGGTGGTCGGAGCAAGTGTTCTTTTCACTATTTCAGGTGAAAATGAGCACCAGAATTGTATTGCACTGCCTAATCAACATACACACGGCTTCACTATGCCTCTCCTCAAATTTCATCATAAGTGCCTTGATTCATGGCAGGAAAATACTGAACACACCAATGCCCAACAAAAGGTAGACATGTGTCTGAGGAAAACTGCAAAAGAACTGCAAATGAGGTGATGTGGAAGTTGTGCTGGCAGGAAAATAGAGCCCTTTGAATCTGGCGGGGTGGCACCCAGGGTGGTCAATCAGACACTGGGGGAGACCAGCCACTTGGCTCCGCCCATGGTCAGTGTTGGAGAGTGGAAATGGTGCGATCCACTTTAGGGGTGCACAATATCATATTAGATGCTTCTTCAGGACATGAATGTTACCTCCCTTTTGACATTGTTCAAAGTAAAGAGGATTAGTTTCATACTTTCAGTGAAAACTGCAGATACTGCAAAGACCTCAATTGTATACAAATTTAAAACTTAAAACAGTGACCCCTTTACACTAGAAGTAAAAGTGTAGGACAGAAAAAGAAAGAGGGAATCAAACTTTTGCTTTTATATGTATATACTTCTATATGATAAGAAATAATACAACAAAATTGATTAGGATTACTGAACACTTGGTTAGGACATAAACTCTGTGAAAACATTAACATTCCCGCTTTTGTCCGACTGCCACAGAGTGTAGTAATTTAGCAATTAAGCCCTCTTTTTCAGTTTTCCAATCTATCCGTAATCCATTATTTCTCTTTGTGTAATTACCAGAATTATTCAGCAATAGCACATTACAATAAAGGGTTAGCATTACCATTTAATAAAACAGCACTTTTTTTTTCTAAATGTCTTTATCTAACCAGTTGTAATCAACAGCATTTGAGTGACTGTTTCGGCAGGTACAGTAGCAAGTTGAGTATTCTCATAAAACCCATTTATTAACATGATGCTCCACTACTGTGTTCTCCTTTCAATTCTCTCTTCTCTTCGACTTGGGTTTCTTTAGAAAAAACTTAAAAGTCTTTGCTTTAAATATTTTTATGCCAATAAAGTATGCTAATGTAAATAATAGACAAAAAAGCCACTAGCTTAATCAAACAACAGTGGTCTGTTCTCTTATTAATATTAAAGTAGAGATAAGTTTTTGTATTTGAGTAAATGAACAAAGGATTATCTATTCTCTTCTGACCAAAGATCGAAAAGTAAGTGATGCTCCCACTGAATTAAATGTTCAATTCTGGAGCACAAGGGGAGAAAGTGTTATTTTCACAGTATGCATCGAAAGGACCATCATTTTGCAGCATTTTTATTTCTGCATTACACATTGGGAAGCCAAGGAGCCAGGACTCGCTGGGGCACAAATGGATTGCCTTGCTAAAACTGAAAAGAACACCAGGGATTTGAATCAGCATATTTTCCGCTAACAAGAACATTTCACCATCAAACTCTCAATTCTCCAATTCACCTTACATTGCATTTGGCTCATGTGCCCATACGCACTCATAAACAAACACCCAAACATGCATGCACAAGAATAAACATGTTCACCTGCACATTCACACATTAACACAACATCTCAGTTCACCTAACATCACTGCTTCAGCTATTAAACTCTACTTCTTTTTTGCCATAAAGCCTTGTAGAAAAACACTTACAATTAGTATATTTAGCAAAATGTCAGCAAAAATAAACATCACACTTTATTAAAAGAAGCTTTATAAACTTTATCAGGGTTTATTGACACATGACTGGTTTTATTTCATTATTTCATCATGACTCAATTTTTACTGTATGTGGAATGTATGTTAAACTGGAGTGTTGAAGTATTAACTACTGTACAATATTCGTGGACTGTGGCCAGTTTTTCATCAGTCTGAACCAACACTTAAAAAAACAACTGTTTTCAGAAGCTGAACATGTTTGAGAAGTTGAACTGGAACAGAGAAGAGGATCTCATTATTATTAATTGGAACACTATCAACACTCTGTGTGACGCAAGCGCTCAAGGCGAGGTTAAAAAAAAACAAAACTACTCGGTAGAACTCTAAAGAACTGAAAACCACAGGCTGACACTAATAACTGCACACAACTGAGTAACAACCAGCGTGGGTGTTAATAACATAAGCTCTGAATTAGCCACAGGTGAAAATGGTTGCAATCAGTGTTCGAGGCTGGAAGAACAGACATGTAGGCGAGGCAGGTCTGAAGCAGGTGAGTGGAGTAGAGTCTGATTGTCAGGAGGTGGAGGGGTCCAGGACACCCGTGTGACAGTGAGGATGTGTTTATATTTAACCTGTAACCTGGTTTGGGCTCTTGTGCTTCTGCCAATTTGGTTCAGTCCATTTAGTGTGGAAAATGTTTATGTAGGATGCTAGCCACCAAAACTGTCAGACAAAAAGTTAATGTATGTTTTATTCACTTGTAATAAGTCAAAGTGAAGACCAAATGGACTAAAACTAAAAGACAACAGTGTAACTAAACTACATCTCAGTAAGCACTACAAGAACCAAAGGAAGCTGGATGCAACAGTACTAGATCTTTAGCTTCTTTCCTTGTGTTGGCACCTTTTGGAATAACTGCTCAGCTGGTAAGCAGGAGCATGCTGTGAACAGTTTACTCACATTTCAGTGTTTACCTTATACATTCTTGATAAAAATGGCTACCACTCTCTTTCACGCTCATTGATTTGTGAAACATCTGCACTGAACTCTGAAAGAATATAAACAGCTTGAAACATAGAGGAAATTGCAGAGTGTGAAAGCTTATGTCAGTAAATTCCCAGAACTATATTATTCAGTCAGTGGCTTTTCAGCTGCTTGTAGATATGCTGGAATTTTCCCAAAAGACAGGAGAAAAGAAAATATCAACACTGTGAGCAAAATGGATATTTCATTCCTAAATTGCCACGTGCATTATTTTACAGCTGTACAAATAGCTTGTCTATATGTATAATGTCATATTGCCTTTTTTTACAGGAGAAAAAGCAAACAACTGAAACTGTATTTTTTATCAGCAGTGTTTTTTTTTCCTTTTTTAATGCCAGCCTTGCAAGCTTGATACAGTGAATATGTGTTACAAGGAGAGTCACCTTTCTGAATTGCAGCTGTTTTGCAGCAACCTCTCATCCAATAGCAATGCAGTACTAGTGTCTGCATGGAGTCCAGGCCCACACAGTGGCCAAACACATGTCACATATGAGTCAATATTTAATTTACTAAGTACAGATCTATATTCTTCAAAGCACCATTTGAGCATTTAATTATCAGTAGGTCCTTCTGTAATCTTGAATCAGCATTGTAGTGCTGGCATCATTACATGTGGGCACAGTAGATTTCTGACTCCATCTTCCATGTCTTTCTGGCATATAATGATCTTGTACTGAGTATGGAAACTGCAGGAGCCTCAGATCTCTAAGGAAAGCAAGATAATTGGCTTGCTTGGAACTTGGCAATTTTTTTCCAACTTGGCAAAGTAAAAATTTGTCCACTCTCACAATTTAACTGATTATGGGATTATAAGCACACGATTTTACAAAACAGTGTTGGATGCCTGTTTTCCCTGCTCATTTAATTACATAAGATACCTTTTAACCCTTTATAATAAGTAAGGTAATAAAATATTTCTCCAGTCCCTTAGTTTGGGCTGTGCTGTTTTAAGTGCAGTCAGAACTGGACTATTTATTCTAATATATGTTTATGCATGTTTGTTTTAAGGATTTCTGACAAAATACAACAAAATATTTGGCAGAGGTGCATCTTCAGCAATTTTCCACCTCACTATCTGCAAATTATCATGATTAACAGATACAGTTTCTTCATGAAACAAACTTTTAATTTTGGGAGCTACTCATATACATTTTAATATGACATTTTTACATTTTTTTTTCCCTTTAAACCAAAGATAGATCACAAAAGATGGACAACCTTCTCCCCAACCAAATGCACAACACACACATGCACATGGGACATGGGTGGGCACACACAGCAGCACAGCAGGGGGAATCTTCTCGCCTCCCTAGTGCACCTGTTGATGGCCGCCAGCTGAGCGCATGCTATGCCTCCTACACCATATAGCTCGGTTCCTCTTTCTCTCATTTACTTCCTCCCTCATTCACTAGCATTTTTTATTGTTTACTCTGGTATCCCAATGATGATTTAGCAAACGCTAAGTAGAATGATCATTAAAAAACATTCTGCTTGAGGAGTTCATTAAATATTGAGTGATAACATGCATCACTTGTTAAACATTCATTCACTTGGGACACTTTTGACCCGTCTTACGCATCAGAGAGTTAAAAAAAAAGTTTAACACTACAAACAATCAATTTTATATTTGAATAAAACATTTTGGTATCAGTACCCTGTTAATGCGCAAGATGGGTCAAAATGACCCATACGTATGTATTCTTAATGGAATATAATTGGAAACTTCAGTTTGCCTATATATTTGTTAGGTTTGCATTTAAGAACATGTTTTATTGTGAATTATTCCTCTTAGAGTCACAGTTTCACCTATCCAGAAGGCTGCCTTAACACATCTGTGTGACATATCAAATTTTTTTCTTTAACCTTTTGCCTCAGAATATAATTTGCATTTGCGGCCAAACTATACCACAAACTTTGACACTGTGTTATGCCAATATATGTGCCCTGTTTAAACAATTTGAAATCAGCATCAGTGGAAATTAAACTCCCAGCTGGCAGCAACATGAGAAGGAACAATATTGAGCAACGCACTGCTCTAATTAAAGAACAACAAAAACTTATGGATCAATATTGTTATTGCAGCCATCTTGTGTAAAGAATTGTTCTATTAATTCTATCTCTGTAATTCTGTGCATGTAAGTAATTTATCACATTATCAAATGTCCTGTTTGAATAATGGTGAAAACCCCAGTTGTGAGCGCAGTGATCAGGGCACACATACAGTAAGCAAGAACACAGCAAGTGTATGATCAACAAAGCTTCATAATGTGAATCCAACCCAAAGGTTTTCCACCTGCAGCCGATGCTAATGAGAACTTCCAGTAGGGTGTCTAAAGTGCAGTCATTAATAATTTATGTACTGCATGAGGTGTTTTATTTCTCTGCATTTTGTTCTTGTCAGTACTCATTTGCAGCTCTGTTGGTGTTTCCATTTTTAGCCTGGAGTAAATAGATCTGTTTACTCAATTTTAAGTATTACTTAGTTTAGAGCTGGAAACTGAATGGCCCTGAGCTGCTTGTTGAGAAGAAATGTTTTACTAGTGATGCATTTTACACAAATTATACTTTATAAAATATCAATTTTATTTTAAATGGAGAACGCCGGCTACCTGGGCAGTCTTTATGCTGAGTGAAATGCTTTGCTGTCAGTTTTGTTGGCAGTCTGTTAGCACTTAAAAACTGCTTCTCAGTGTTATGTCACACCATGACAGATCAAACTGTAACAAGTTGTACCCACAACAGTTCCTCACATTAAATGAAACTTAAGCAATGTCCATGTGGAAATTGGACCATTTACATGAAAGGAGATGCTAGAGCTGCTGCACTGATAGAAGCGTCAGTAATTTCATGGCTGCCAGTGCTAACAAACACCTACTCAGTTTTCTGACTGGTCAAAACACATGAATGTTAAAAAAGCACACACACATGTATTCAGTTGGGAAGCCACTCCAGCAGGGTTTCTCAGATATTCACATATTCACATTACCCCACTGTTACACTTTATTTCCAGTGACTCATAAAGTAAAATACGTAATTTCTCTGATGAAGCCTTTGATTTTACAACCACCTAATAAATACATAAAAATCTCATCCCCATTTTGATGTTTGATAAAAAAAAATAAATTAATAAAAAAAAACACACATCACTGTTGCAGTTACACTCACCATTGGGGGGATTGTTCATTAATGATGTTAAATAGTAAAATAACAAAAGTTATATTTTGTTTACTAGTGTTAGAAAAACAGCAAAGTGCATCTCCAGTTCCTCTTATATGCACAGTAACTATCAAAAATGTATGTATGTGTTTATTTATGTGCAGTATAATAGAAAAATAAATGTGCACTCAGTGTTGTTGTAGACAACTAATAATGACTGGACACAAAAAGAGTCTTTTGAGATTTGTGAGAATGCCTCACCTTGCAGCAGGGAGGTTGCTGTCGTCACAGTTTCTGGTACACCATCCTTGGTGTAAATGGACTGGAGGAACTCTGGGATACAATCGTTTTCATCGACAATAATAACTCGGACCTAAGAGAGGGTGAGATTAAGTGACACTTAAAAACACAAATCCCTGCCACATATAGCCATCAAATGAACTGAGTGCCATAAAGTCATATGTATCTATTGACGTGGTGTTATTATTCCACAGTTCACTTCATGAATAAATGTGAAACAAAGTCTTGGTTTACCTCAGGATTCTACAAGATTACAGTGGGAAACTGCATTATAGAAAAGTGAAATTATGTCAACATTCATTTGGAGCATTTCACTTCAGAATGTAGTGGTTTAAGTTACATGTTAATATGGATTATGTAATGGGTAGTGTTTCTGGGTTCACTTTTAAGTTCATGTAAGCTGAACAATGAGCTTATATAATTTGGCCAAGATGTTTCCTGTTTTTGGGTACATCTCAAGGTGTTGTCTCCTAAAATTGGAGACAGGAAGCTAAGTTCGGAAATTGATGTAACAGCCTAAGAAAAGCTGTGGATAAAACAGTGAGGCTGAAGGGTGTAGAGGAATGAGAATGCTACCGTGACAGTACCGTGTGCACTTTGGGACCCAGGCCTGGGTAGGGAACTCTGACTGGACCCCTCACCAAGACTGACTGACTCTGTGACAATCTTCTTATTTAACACTGTATCTATTCCATTGCAGGAGGAGTGATTCTGTTCTTTGTTCCCCAACTACCAGATTACCTATTTAACTACTAGTCTGTTCAGAATAATTGTAATATTAAATTATTACTTAAATTGGGATGATTTATCTGAATGAATTTAGTCTGTATCACATTCTAGCCACGACAAGAAAAAAGTATAGAGTATAGAGTCTCTGTATTTCTGATATCAAACATATTCAAGTAATGCTGTTATTATATCTACCTGTGCCAAAACTGTCCAGGCAATTACGACTGGAAATGCTAGAGATTAAAAGTCTCACTGGGCTGGTGTTTTAAATCTGGGATTACTATCTCAGGCACAGTCTGGAATTCTTTCGGTCCGGAGTTGTTTTTATCTGCAAGTAACCCAAATTGACCCTATCCTTTACCAACCTCCTCCAAAGACATGTCCTGACCCTGGTCCCCTCTTCAGTGAAGGAGCTGCTGCAGAGTAGGCACTGTGCTCCCTTCACTAGGTTAGTGGAGAATGCACTCTTGTGCACTTTTTCAGAAGCCCTGAGCTAACAAATGAGTGGGCCAGGGTGCAAAAATGAATTTGTGTGGTGTGAGCATGTTGGAATGTGTGTGCATGAGACACCGTAGGGCTGTTCAGTTCCTTAGGGACATAAAGGCAAATGCAGCCTCTTCTACCACATGTTTGACTGCCTGCTTACAGCATTCAGGAGGAATGGGCTGGCAGGTGAGCCATTCCAGCCCCCATTTTTTTTCTTCCATATAATCACAGCGGTATGCACAAAACACTACAGATCACCCACATGCACAGACACACACAGTGAGTGGTGGGTAAATACCGCTGGTATTAAGTCCTAGCAGGTAAAATAAAATTCTGTAATATCAGTTAATCCTTCAGCAAATATCAACAACAGACAACAAAAAAAAATCTGACCATGTAAACTCCCTGAGGTGAGTTGTGTGTGTTTACTAGTGACTGTCAGTCATTGTGGGCTTGTCTTTATATACTTGTGCGAACCAAACCCTGACGGAACACCTTTCTTGTGTGGACATTTCTTCTTGTGTGGACCTTTTGGGTGGTCCACACAAGGAAAATGCTAGGATAGGCTCCTTTTATCCTAAAGAATAATCTAAGTTTCAGAAGATGTCCACATAAAGAGAGTAAAGTCAGAAAAATGTGTGCCAGCTTGTGCTCTTTTGCCCCCTATCCGGTGGTGCAGTCAAAATTTGATTTACAGGAAAGAAACGCAATCCAGTTTTCGAATTAACTAAGGCTGGGAACTTTTGTGAGTGGCCATTATCTACATTTATTTGATCATATGCATGCAAAAATGCAATAAAATAAAGTATCATGCTCTGATTAAATACTGCTTAACGCTGAATTCATGCAATACTGCCTGTGTCTCTAAAAGGGCACAGACAGGGCAGCTTAGAAGTGGGTGGGAATCAAACAATATCAAACACCTGGAGCTTGAGTCTCACCTTCAACTAATGTTGCATTAAATGCATGCCTCAACACTGCGGAGACTGTGGTAGCACCACAATCGGTGTGCTGAGAGATACGACGAGGAGAGAACTGTTAAAGCTGAATTAGATGATGAAAAAAAAGTGCAAATTGTACTAGTAAGATTTATGAAACTAGTTAGTTGTTTTGGTTTGAAACTAAATTCTGGTTTAGTCCTCTGGCTCATTCTCCAGCGTTAGTGTTTGTGAAGTTATTAAGCTAATGTTTGCTTTGAGTTATTTCTTTAAATAGAGGCTCACAAGTTAAAGCTATTTAAATTGTCTTTGAAGATATGCCAACTTTATGCAGGAAAATAAAGCTGATGTATGCTTTATTTGTAACGG